GCTGGTCCCAAGGCTCCTGTGCAGAAGCAGGCCTGGCCTGGCCCCTGCTCAGCCAGCCGCGGCCTTCCTGCTCCAGAACCTGTTTAAGCCTGAGCAGCAATTAATCACCGCAGCTCCGAGCGAGCACCTCTGGCATAATTGTCTCATATTAAGAGCGAGGTGTCGCCCAGTAGAACACGGGATGTGAAGCAACAGCTGCATCTTTCTCTCCCTCAACCTCTGGCTGCAGCTGGGACAAGTGGGGAGGGGCGGGGAGGGGGAACGGGCGTGCGGAAAACAGCAATAATGACAAAGGCATGGTTGTGTCCACAGTGCTTACGTTCAGCTGCTGGGCTATACACAGGGACACAGTGGACTCGGGAACACCCAGTACTCCACTGTAGCAGCCGCACTGGGAGGAAGCAAATCACCTGCGAGGGTGCCCTGCGCTGTGCGATGCAGGACAGAACGGAACACAGGGCAGAGGACAGCAAGTTTATCACGGAGGGTGGGGGGCGGGGGTTATACACGTGTGAGGCAGGATTCCCAAAGTATTGCAGAGAAAGGGTGGGCTGCCCTGACCTATGTGAAGAACTGATGGTCGCTGGGGTAAGAAACAGCAGCGAGGCCTAGAGGCCCGCGACGAGTTTCCAAGGAGTTTAACTTCCATGCGCACAGTTTTCTGTTGCCAACTATGCCGTGACCTTTGGCAATCGGGCCCTCTCTATAATTTCCTGTCCGTCCGTCCTTTCCACGAACATTGATGAGGCACTCCCTGTGTGCCAGCCTATCTGCCAGGGACAAAACCAAGTCCTTGCTTGCTTCCACCTTTTGGAAAGGACCCTGCCCAGCCCACCTCCGCGGTCCGTGCGAGACACGGCCAGACCTCCGCGGCCGCCAGGTGGCGCTCTGCGCCTGCGCATGGGCCGCGGGCTGGGGTCGCCCGGCCACCCCAGGACCAGGGAGGGGGAGGGGTGGCCGGGGGCGGGGCCAGCGCCGCAGGTTGTGTGACTTTGGGTTTGACCTGCCTGGAGATGAGCTAATCCCGCAGTATAATAGACTCCAGCAGATAGGAAAATGGCTGCGGCGCTATCTGCGTCGCCATGGGGACCATCGCGCGCACACGGGCGGGGCGCAATTCTGGAAAAATACAGCCTTTGTCGGCGACGCGTGCCATTCACTGCGCGGGGCGCCGGGCGGCGGGGCTCAAGTCTGCGGCCCCAGCTCTGGAACACGGCGGAGAGACTTTGGGCCAGGACCTCTGGGCGTCCCCAAACTCCTCGGGCCACCCCTCTAGGCTTCATTCCCGTATGCTCTCCCTTCGCAAGCACTCCTGACACGCGGTGCAGCCTACCCTGCTGTTCAGGCGTCAATCACACCCGCACACACAGACGGGTCTTTTCCCCAAGCTGTAGGGGTTACACTGCAGCTTGCTGCGCCGCTAGTTACCCCTGGGAAGAAAGCTGCTCCACGATCTCCCCCTGGGGCCGCGCACACCGCAAAGACACGCGAGGCACTCGCCCAGGCAGCCGGGCACGCACACTCGCAAGCCTACAGCCCGCGAGGCTCACACGGTAGAGGGCGACCTGCGCGCGCCGAGCACCTTTTCTGCCGTGCGCTCCGGAACTGCATCTCCAACGCGGGCGGACGTCGAGGCACTCAGCCTGCCCACCCGCCACACTGGGCGTGCACGCCCATTCTTCCCTCCTTGAGAGACCCGCTGACCCCGCGCCCACAGGGGAGATGTGCGTGCACACTCCGTGGCAGTGGCTGAACACTCTGAGCCTATGCTTGCCACGCCTGTATACATGGGCGCTTCGGGCCACACGCTTGCTTGGCACAATTGCACGCACACCTGCATCATGGTTTGCTCCACATCTAAGCCCACGTGTCTCTCCACGCACGCAGGACTTGGGGGGCGCTCTCGGTGGCCCCGCGCACATGGCGCCTCCCGCGGACGCTATCTCCCTGCCCATCAGCGCGCGGATCTGCGCCGGTAAATGCTGCTTTCCACGGCGGCCGCATTTGTTGTGCGCGCTCTGAAAGGGCTCCGATAATCTGGAAGGCAGAGATAAGGAACACCATTTATTCCGCGGCACTTTGGAAACAATTCCCAGCCCGGTACAACCCCATTCTCGTGCAGCCTCCGGGAGCCGGGCAGATAACGATTGGCTATTCATTATCTTCGCCGGGAACAAAGATTAGCCGGCCGAGATGAAAAATTACCCCGGACAGCGGCGCGGCCCCGCGCGGACCCCCCTGTCCGCCGCCGCCCGCGCTCGGTGCCCCACCCGGCGTGGACCCCGTGTGGCCCGGCCCGCTGCTCTCCGTGCCCCTGCTCAGTGCCCAGTCGTGCTTCTTTGTGTCCCCGCGTCTTTCGGGCCCTTTCAGTGCTGGCTCCCCTCAGGGCTCTCAGCCTCTCCGAAGCTCTTTCCATCTCTCTGACGCGGTCTCCTCTTTTTATCTTTCCGCCCTTGTCTTTCTCTGGCCAACACTTTCTTAGCCTTAATTCTCATCTCTCTGACCTCCTTGGAACTTGTTAGATGTTTGCCTGAGTATTCTTACCCCCTCAGCTCCCAAGCCTGCCTGTGCCTCTGCTGTCTCAGTGGCTCCAGCTTTTATAAATCTGTCCTTAGGGCTCCCTGTGTCCTGTCCCTCTCTTTGTCTCTCTGTCCATGTCTCTCTGTCTGTCCGCCCTCCAGCAAGCATTCCCAGGTTCCCAATCCTCCTGCCACTTGTCCTCTTCAGGCCTAGGCCCCTAGCAAAGGTCCAGCAACCAGGAGGCTCCAGCCGGCTCTACCTGACCAGCTGAAGGGCCGCTGGGGTGGGACCCTGTGCTCCATCCCAGGAAACCAAGCAGAACTAGAAGAAGGCCCAGACACCCAGGTCCTGGGGTGCAGAGCAGCCATCTGTCGCATGACCCTCACCAGCGGGGATAGGGGCTCAGAGCAGGTGGTCCCAGAGAGGCCACTTTATTATAGCAGTTATTCAGTATGGCTCTGGTGAGGGCAGATAAACTTATCAGTTTATCTCCCCTCTCCCATAGACAGAAAGGGCCCAAGCGAACAGCACCCTGGAGCTGCACTGTTGGCTCTGCTGGTTAGAAAAGGTGTAAGTGGCTGGTGATCCCAGAACAGGCACCCAGCATGTGACACCCAGGGACCCATTCCTCTGTGGATCACAGACACAGTGTATTCCACTGCACAACACCGACACCACTGACACACAGACATAAACAGCAACTCAGCTCACTGGCACACATCTGCCCCTCCTTATAAGTCTAAAGTTATACGAGGGTACTACGTCAGGAAAGACAGCCAGGCATGGTGGCACATACTGGTAATCCCAATTACTGAGGCAGGCTGAGGCAGGAGGATTGCAAGTTTGAGGTCAGCTTGGGCAATTTAGAAAGGCCCTGTTATAAACAAACAAACAGGGACCAGGGAGAGAGCTCAGTAGAATAAATGCTTGCCTGGCAAGTGCAAAGTCCTGAGTTCAATCTCTGGTACCACAAAAATAAATAAATAAATATAAACAAACACATAAATGAGGGCTGGAGATGTAGTTTAGTGTTCCTTAGGCTCAAGGCCTGAGGTTTAATTTCCAGTCTTGAAAAAAAGAAAAGAAAAAAGACAAATAGAAAGATGCACATACATATACACAGACAGGAGAATGTACACCCAGATACACAAACACTCCCAATACTCACCAGTTGATAAGAATTCTACACGGGTACCCACATCGCAACACATTCACACACACACACACACACACACACACACACACACACCAGTTCAAAGACACACAGATAAACCAGGTACACACTATTAAAGATATACATACAGTGATGTGTGCCACCCACTCCCCTTCAGCAAGCACAAATTCATTCACACAGGGACCCACACATTGCCACAGACACATAGTCACACATACTAGTTTACAGATGAACACTTGGAATGCCCACTGCTGAAGCCATATGAAGATGAAGATCCTGTAGATACCCTACCCCCCAGGACACACATCCAAGTCTGCAGACACGTACTCCTGCATGCACTACTGGCTGGGATACACATTTCCACTGAGCCACTGAAGGAAACGATGTGTTAGCTTAGTTCTGCAAACACGTGTGCATAAGATACATACAGGCCACAGCATATGGATACTGAGTCACATGAACATGGAAACCCACAGACAGCAGGTACCACAATGACAGGGGGACATATTCCCTCCCCGGAGGCATACTTGGGGACCAGCCACACACTTCTGGTCCTTCCTTGGCAAAGCATTTCCTGGGCCCAACACCACAATCACTCTCTAGGTAGTTAGAATGGGCTGGAGAGGAGGAGGGTTGGATTCCTTGGTGGGGTCCCCTAGACTCCTCTAGAAAAACCTAGGAGGCTTCTAGGAGCAAGCCCCCCACCTACCCATCCCTCAGCCTTCTAAGGACAGGTTCTCACCTTTACCAGAGTGACCTGGCTAGGGATACAGCAAAACTCCACTCCCCTCTGAACTGGGAATTCAGGTGGGCACGGGGAAGGAAGGGTTGTCCTACACACAGGCTGTTGGTGAGAGCTTGTGTGTCTGTGTGTATGTGTGTTGGCCCCACCCAGGTTGCCTGTCTGGGCCATGCACACACCCACAGCTCCATGTATGCTGTTGTGTCTGTGTTCCTGTCAACACTGTGGGTAGTGGGCTGAGGAAGGAAGAGCAGGTGTCATGTACCTGTGTCTGTGAGTGTGTGTGCCCATGGCTGGAGAGGGTCCCCAGAAAAAACTCCAGAACAGAGACTGGCATGACAGCCTTCCAAGCTTGCATCCCAGACATCAGGGGCACCCTGGAGGACTCCAGTAGTCTGGCTCAGGACAAGCAGGGTGAATATGTTCCCATTGCCCTGTGGCCAGTGGCCCTACATGACTAGCCCAGAGGCTGAGCCCAGCAATCAGAGAGCAGAGCCTGGGTCACCCTCCTGCCCCCCTGCGGTGCACTCCCCCCCAACCAGTGATGTTGAAATAAAAAGCGCTGCGCTGCGGGGCCAGGGAGAGGGAGAGGCTGCCAGCCAACTCGCCAGGGAAGTGGTGGTAAAGCCTGCTGCTCCAGTCTCTATTGCTTGCTAGGCTGCTGTCACCCCCATCCTAGCCGTTCCTCGCCCACCGGGTGGACAAAGCGGCCCACTGTGCATCGCACCATGTGGCTGCTCTGGGTGCCGACAGGGTCCTGCTGCTGAGTACCACCTCCACCACCAGGCTACTCTGGGAGCCCTGCACCCCGGTGAGTCTCTTTCAGCCTGCCTTCCTGCTTGTCCTGGGACTCAGCTTGGCTGTGGAGCCAACACTGCATAGCCACTGGCTCCACGGCCCTACCTTTGGGGTTCTGCCTGGGCCTGCCAGTCTTGAGAAACCACGGCCTTTCCTGGGGCAGATTCGGGCACCTGGACACCACAGGCTACCTCAGGCCTCTGGGTTTCCCATTCCTTCTAGGATCCCCATCTCCCAGGGCTGCGCGATCACCTCCCCCTCCTGGCCCCAACTGGAGCCTTTGTCTTCCGCCTGCACCGGGCCGCCTGAACTGATGCGTCCGAGCCGGGCTGAGCAGGCTGCACCTGCTGGCTAGTCCCGTGCGCCGGCTTTTCGAGGCTTAACCCGGCTCACTCCTGCCTGCCTGCCGCGCCCTGAGGCCTTTTATCCCATGCGGCTGGGGTGCAGGTGGGGGAGTGGACTGGGTTTGGAGGGCTCCCCCTCTTCCCCAAGTCAAAGTGGAATCCGTTTAGCGGGATTTCAATAAGAACAGGGTAGCCACAGGGCGGTGTGGGCACCAGGCGTAGACAGTGTTTGGACCTGGTTGGACTCCCGGCTTTTAGGACCACTCAGTGGTAGCCAGCCTTGAACTAGAATTTGTCTCAGCCTCCAGGCAAAAGTTATGGTGTTCAGGGCGCCCAAGATGTGGCCGTTGATCGGTTACCAGAAAACACGAAAAGAAATTCGTTTGTTTCAGAAAAACCCATGTCAACCTGGGTCAGGAACATCTGAGCATGAGCTCCAGGTCTATGCAGGCGACCCATGCTGGGATTCGTTTACGGGCAGACTGAACTTGAGAACCAGGTAGAGCCAAAGCGAAGCCCGGGTGTCTGGAGAGTGTTTCCCAGGCGGGATGACAAATTGCAAACAAATTGCATCTAACGAAAGGGATTTAGCAGTTGTCCTGCCGCAGGGCACCAGGCGCTGTGAGCACTGCTGAGCTGTCATAGAGGATGGAGAAAGGCGGGGTGATCTGTGGATCTCTGTGGGGCTGGGGTGGCCACTTGCTCAGCAGTGGATTAGAACCTGTTTAGGAGACAGAGCCCCTGGTGGTACCAGGGCCAGAGTGCCAAGACACTGCGGATTGTGGGCCTCAGGATTGTCCACAGCAGGCTGGCAGAGCCAGCAGGAAAACCAGGGAAGCGAAAGCTTTTTAATTCAAGGAGCTGGAAGTGAATCTCAAAGAGTAGAGCGGCAGTAAGGAAGGAGCCGAACCTTACCGACTTAGGCATGCCGGTGACTCCCCAGTGTCCCTGACAACGTATGCTGGGAGGCTGTGCCTAGTGAGTGAAATAGTCCTTCCGAAGGCTGTCCCTAAGCAAAAGCTTCCTTGAGCCGCCACCCACTTGTGGGCCAATTAGCTGCCCAAAGAAGAAGGTGAGAAGAATTAGGTTTCAAAGAGAAGACAAACTTAGAGGCCCCAGAGGGGCTGCTAAAGATGAGCGAAGTTTAAACAAAGAGTGAAGCACAGAGCCGGGAGCTGGGCTGCTCAGGGCTCTGGCTTGGCGGAGCTGCCACAACTTTGCACCAACCGGGTGGCTCTCAGGACCTAGGTCTGGATCCCCGGCAGAAGCCCTGAGCCAGCCCCCACCATAATCTTAACTGGGAGTCTAGGGTCACTCGCAAAGGGCTGTTAGAAAATTCTGTTTGGTGGCCACCTTCCTTCATTGGAGAAATCTTGTTTCACACAAGGAAAATGACAGCTCCTTAGTGTGATCAAAGGCCTGCATTTCCATCTAAGCTCCGAACGAAACAAAAATTGAAAAATGGACTGTATCCCTCACAAGGTGTTCCAAACCCTTAGTCTCAGAGCAGGAATGCATAAGAACTGGAATAAATGTGCTGTCACCCAGGTGGGAATGGAAACCACCAGAATTCAGCCCTTCCTGGGGGCTGAGCTGATCCTCCCGGGAGGTCTGCTCCGGGGTAAGGCGGCAGTACCATCCAGCAGGCCTGGTAGGTGAGGGCCTGCCTGACTCTCGCAAATATTCACAGCGCAGGACCCATTTATTGGCCAGCTCAGCAACCTGCTACCTGGTGCCGCGATTTTTTTCTATCATACGGGTTCATTCCTGCAGGAGAACTGGAAGTCCCGCCTCGGACGCAGGAGCTTCGGTTTCGATGGCAGCTGGGCCGAGCGGGCTGCTAGCCTGCAGTTTCTAGGAAGGCAACTCCGGGGGCTTCAGAGGACTTGGCAGAATTTCCTTCCCTGTTTTCCTGTCCAGCCCGGAGTGCGGGCAGGCAGGCTGCTGCGGGTCTCCGGAGGCCCTAGCTCAAGTGCTGCTTAACTGCCCAGCAGCTAAGCCCTATGCGCAGCGATTTTCTGAGCCGCCGAGCGGGGTAATTAAATCCCCGGCTGCACTCGCTCTGCGCAAGCCAGACGTTGGAACAGGGGCCCAACCAGGCTGGCCACCTCCACCGCCGAAGGCTAGGACATTGCCACTGCAGCCATCAACACCCCAGAAATGGAGATCTTTGAAACCGCGCGTTTGGGGGAAAGGGGCAAATTACCTGCTTGCTTTGGTGAGGGCCTCCTTGGTCACCTTGCAGTAGCCGCCGATCACTTTCTGATCGGTCCTCGCTGACACTGTCCTCGGTCGCTCCAGCCGCTCGCCCCGAAGAGCGCAGAACAGCTTGCTAGACACGGAGCAAGGGTCCCAGAGATTGCGGGCTTCAGGGACTCCTCATGGGTTTTAAGCTCTGTGGTGGTGGTGGTGAACCCCGAGCTGCGGGCGCGGAGAAGCGGAGGCGGAGGTCCCAAGAGGGCTGGCCGAGGGTTCCCGACACTCACCTGCGCGCGGCGGATTCTGCTAGGCCCAGGACGCAAGGCCGAGGGTCCCCAGAGCTAGGGCGGCCGCCCCAGCTTTCGCCTTTACCTGCGCCAGGCCTGGACAGACAAGTAGACGCCGACCGCAGAACCCGAGTTTAGCTGAGCCCTGAGCTGGCCCGGGAGGCTGACTGGAGAGCGGGGAGCTGAGCGCGGCGGCCAGGCGCCCCCGAGCCGTGGGGACCCAGCTCTCCTCCCGCCTCGGATTATTAAAAAGTTCATTTCCTGGAGAATCGGGTGACGTCAGGGGCCCGGCGTCGCGGTGGCGGGGCCGCCGGCCGGAGAAGCCGCCTCCGGTTACCCAATTACCGACCGTCAATCGCGCCCCTCCCCCCGGGTGGCCAGGACCCCCGCCCCCAATCACCGAGGAGCCCCGGGCGCCCACTGAGGCTTGCGTCGAAGGACTGTGGCGCCCCCACACCCCGCACCTGCCAGGCTCCCCCAAATGTCTGCGTCCAGATCCCCTCCCAGGCCTCAGGGCCCCCCGGGCCAACGTCCCCCTGCCAGAGCCGCAGGAGGGTGCAGAAAGAAGTGCACATTACGCCTGCACCCCGCGCTTGTTCCCGGAGTCGGGGTGTGGAGAGAGAAGCTCCGGGGACCTGGGAACTCTGAGCTAGAACCCCTGCCACCCGTCCCCCGGGGTAGCCAGGGAGAGGACCCCTGGAGGGAAACGGCTGCGCCTGCCTAGGGCGCCTCTCCTGCTGGCGTCGGCGCCAGGCCGGGTCTCACCGCCTAGCCCCGGGCAGTGCGGCCGCAGGGTCTGCGAGGCCACGCCCGAGGGGACGCCCCCTCCTGGCCACCTCCTCCTTCGCCATCTACCCCACCACCAATCGTGCCCGGCCTAGCACAGCCCTGGTAGCCCTGGGACGCAGACCCAGGTACTCTCTCGGGCGCCCGCACCCCCTGGTTCCCCCGGCCCGGGGACACAGGTCTGAGAAGGTGGCAGCTTCGGGCTGCGCGCGTCGGTGGAAAGTGGTGGGGCAGAGAACTCTTGTAGAGAGGGCCAAGAGAAAAGGTCAGCCTCGGAGACCCTTACACCCAGGGAGCGCGCTTAGGGTTGGGGTCCCGGGACGGGGGCGTGAGCAGCGGGGCAGCCGCCAGGGCGCTGGGAGGGGCGCCCGCGCCGGGCCGAGTCCCGCGGCGGAGTTGCGGGCACAGCCAATAGGGGGCGGAGGCTGGGCGGCGCGCGGCACTGATTGGCTGGCGCCAGCTTCTTAGGCGTGCGCGGCCCCCGCTTCATGTCTGAGCAGGAGTCGGCAGCTGGCGCCAGCGCGGCCGGACGATGCCGAGCGGCCAGAGCCGGGCGGGCCCGAGGCCGAGGCGCGCGCCGTCCCCCGCCCCTGCCCCGTGAGCCGCGGCCTCCGCACGCGCCGTCCCGAGCCGCAGCGGCACTCCCATCTCTGCCGGTGCCTCCGAGCCGCAGCGGCGCTGCGCGCGTAAGTTGGGGTGCGAGCGACATGGGGGGCCGGCGCCCCTAGTTCTCAGGGGTCTCCCGCGGCTGGGCGTAGGAGGGGGGCGTGCGGGGGAGCGGTCCCGGCTCCGCTGCTAGAAGTGCACTTGGCGTAGGGCCGCGGGTGCGTGTCTTAGGTGTCCCGGGTTCGTGTTGTGCCGGCTCCAAGCGTGGGTGTGGACGTGTCGCCGCAATCCCGCGCCCCGTGGGTGTCCGGGCATCAACTTTAAGTCTGAGTTCGTGTTTGTGCACCCAAGGGCTGGGACACAGCCTACCCTGTACCATCCGCGCGCGTTTGCGGGGTCCCCGCTCATAACCCCTTGTGCACTGTGTGCGGCTCTGGGGCCGCGGGTAAACACCCACGCGGGTGTGCGTGGCTAGGACCCCTCCCCCGCTTTCCTTTCGTTTCGAACTGTGCGCTTTCCTCCCAACCGGGATTGGTCTTTCGCGGTGCCTGGGTCATCCTTTGAGGATGTCCGCATCTGGCTATGCTCTTAACGCCCCTTCGTGTCGCCCAGGGTCAACACCGTCCCGCACAGACCCCGAATCACCACCGCGGGCCATGGAGGTGGCGCCAGAGCAGCCGCGCTGGATGGCGCACCCTGCGGTGTTGAATGCGCAGCACCCCGACTCCCACCACCCAGGCCTGGCGCACAACTACATGGAGCCGGCCCAGCTGCTGCCCCCCGACGAGGTGGACGTTTTCTTCAACCACCTGGACTCGCAGGGCAATCCCTACTATGCTAACCCGGCGCACGCGCGAGCGCGCGTCTCCTACAGCCCCGCGCACGGTGAGCGCGGCCCCGGGCCGGTGGGAGGGAGGAGGACGTCTGCTTCCCGGATGTGGGAGCCGCAGAGCTGGGCGGGAAAGGTGGGGGCCGCGGTGCTGGAGAGGTCTCTGCTTTTGCAGGCTGGTCAGTTGCGGATCTGCTCTGGCCACGGTCCTCAACTCGGTATCACCTTCCAGATTAAGACCAGCGGGATGGCTCGTTTCAAGCTCGTTTTGGTGGGGAGGGTGCTGCTGCAGTTTTCCTGAGTTGTGATCCCTGTCCTCTTCCCCGCAGCCCGCCTGACAGGAGGGCAGATGTGCCGGCCACACTTGTTGCACAGCCCTGGCCTGCCCTGGCTGGACGGGGGCAAGGCTGCCCTCTCGGCCGCCGCTGCGCACCATCACAACCCCTGGACAGTGAGCCCCTTCTCCAAGACGCCGCTGCACCCCTCAGCTGCTGGGGGACCGGGCGGGCCGCTGTCCGTGTACCCGGGGGCTGCAGGTGGGAGTGGAGGAGGAAGCGCCAGCTCGGTGGCCTCCCTCACCCCCACCGCGGCCCACTCTGGCTCTCACCTCTTCGGCTTTCCACCCACACCACCCAAAGAAGTGTCACCGGACCCCAGCACCACAGGGGCTGCCTCCCCAGCCTCATCATCTGCGGGGGCTAGCGCAGCCAGGGGAGAGGACAAGGACGGTGTCAAGTACCAGGTGTCACTGACCGAGAGCATGAAGCTGGAAGGCGGCAGTCCCCTGCGCCCAGGCCTGGCCTCCATGGGCACTCAGCCTGCCACCCACCACCCTATCCCCACATATCCCTCTTACGTGCCCGCTGCTGCCCATGACTACAGCAGCGGACTCTTCCACCCAGGGGGCTTTCTGGGTGGCCCGGCATCCAGCTTCACCCCAAAACAGCGCAGCAAGACCCGCTCCTGCTCAGGTAAAGGTGGCAAGGGGACGTGGTGGTGGAGGTGGGGCTGTGTGTGCCTTTGTGGGAGCAACTGTGATTTGGGGGAGAGGAGTCAACTCAGCCGTCCACCAAAAGACAGAAGATGTTTGAGGCCACTGTTCCTACTTTAAAAGTCCCTAGTGGCCCCAGAGTTCAGCTCTCCATTTTTTTCTCTGTGGTCCCTGAAAAGAGCAGGAATTGCCTCTTCCTTTCCCTGAAACTCAGCACAAACGCAGCAGCTTCATGACCTAGTGTGTGCGGGAATGCAGGCTGAAGGTGAGGGTGGCTGCATGTGCCTGTGCCTGTGCGGACGTGTCTGCGAGCGTGTGCTCGTGCTTCGGGTCCTGCAGGGCTCCCAGAGCCTAAAGGAATCTGGTTGTCCAATGCAATCAGTCTATCTTAGAATTTCAGCGGCTCCTGATCTCCTTGGGAGATTTTCCCTAGAGCAAAATTCCCAGGATTTGTCTCTCTCTCCAGCCCCCAGCATGTCCTCCACTGCCTCTCCCTGAGGGACCGGGTGAAGGGATGAGAGCGGGTGCCCGCACCCCTGGGCCAGCAGCAGCTGGACTAAGCTGGGTTTGTCCAGGAATCTGGCCGCAGGGCAATCATCTATGGCCAGCACAGGTCGCATGCTGTGGGTGCCTCCTGCCCAACTCCTTTGAGCCAGGGAGGGGGAAGGAAAGTTTTAAAAACTTTTGCCTGAGTTCAGGAATTACCTTCGCTTGCTGGAATTAATGGGGAATCTGTCGAAACCAAATCAAGGAGAGTTTCCTGGATGACATGTCCATAAGAGGTGCCTTACCTCAGCCTCTCCAGTGCCCCAGCCTGGGTGTGCCCCGATCTGAAGACCAGCTCGCTCATGCTGTTCTCAGCCCTTTCTCCCAAGTTTGTTTTTTTGTGTGTGTGTGTGTGTGTGTGTGTGTGTGTGTGTGTGTGTGTTTTAATTTAAATTCCAGATGGCTTTTTAACAACAACGAAAACCTAAAAAACAAGGCCACTTAGTCCAAAGTGAAAGAACTTCTTATTTTACTTTAAAGAACAAATTTGCCCTGCATCCAGGACTGAATTCTAGGGTTTCAGGGGAAGGGGAGAAGTTTACTTTCTGACTCTGGATGGAGAGTAGGGAGATCTCAGTGGGGCTAAAGGTGGAGAATGTGGAACAGACTCTGAAGGTGGTGTTACTTGGGGAGACAGGAGAGAGGGGACACAGGGGAACAGAAAGGGGTGTCCCAGCACTGTCCAGGTGCTCACTGAGAATCCCTGGAGACCTAGCTGCCCCTCTTTCCTCCTTTCCCAGCTTCCCTTTTGGGATTTGGAACAGTAATTTGGCCTTCAAAGGCTCTCTGGACCCTCTTTCCTGGAGACCTCCTGAGTCCCTCTACCAACTTGGGCCTGGAACTCTGCGTAACTCCATCTTAAATTGGGTCGGACTTTGTCTTCCCTGAACCTCCATTCTCCCTGGCTCTCTTTCCTTCTGTGAGCGACCTTGTCAGTCTCTTCCTGTCTCCCCACAGAAGGCCGAGAGTGTGTCAACTGCGGGGCCACGGCCACCCCTCTCTGGCGGCGGGATGGCACTGGCCATTACCTGTGCAATGCCTGCGGCCTCTACCACAAGATGAACGGGCAGAACCGGCCACTTATCAAGCCCAAACGGAGGCTGGTAGGAGTGGGAGCCTTGGGAGGGTGGGGGCAGATGGCTCTGGGGACAGAGCACACCGCACACCGCACGGGTTGTTGAATGGGCGGGCGGTACAACCTGAGCAGGAGTTAATTAAGGAGAAAAAAACAGGCCAACCCCAAACAAAACAAAACATAACATAACAAAATAAACCGGAGCTTCTCCACCTGAACTCTTTTATCATTAAAATCTTGAGGGTCAGTCGGGGTCACCCTCCTTCCTGGCCAGATTCTTTCCTGCCAGACTTCCTGTTCCGAAGCCCACCAGGTACCCTCGTACCATCTTGTTCCGGGGATCTCCAGAGTGTGTCCCGGGGCCACCCTTCCTCCTTTGGCCTGCCTCTCTCTTTAAAAATAGGTCCCTGAAGTCCTTGCCCCAGGCCAGTCTGGGCAGCCCTCCTAGTCTCCCCAACTCCAAATCTCTTGCTTATTTAAATAAAACATACTCACTCCAGCCACCAAAAAACCCTGCCCTTTATTATTTTTCCATGGAGTCACCTATACTGTGTATTTTCATTTGAGTGATTTTTAAAAAAATGCCCTTTCGGATCTCCTGCTGGAGTTTCCTATCCGGACATCTGCAGCCTGAAGATAAGGAAACTTCGTGTATCTGTTTCCGGACTGCGAGAGTTTTCAGAGAGGCTCCTCGGCTCAGTCCTGCCTCTCGCTGGGCTGTTTTGAAATTTCTAATACTCTCCGCTCTGCAAATAATGCGTAAAATGCTAAGAATAATAAATATATTTTTTCAGGGTGAAGTGATTTATGAGGCTTAAATCGTTCACTGCTTTAGGGGCCCTTTTTTTTCTGGCCCAGAGCAAGGGCAGGGTGAGGGCTGGCGGGTAGGGTAGAGTAGGGTAGGGTAGGGGTGGAGGACGCGCAGTTGGCCCCTGAGTCAGAATTCCAGCTTCAGGCTGCTTACTCACTGCGTCCCTCCCCGCCCCCACGCTGCAGTCCCGTCCATCCCCTGTGACCACCCTGGGTCCCAGCCGATCCAGATGCTGCTGGGGGGAGGGGGGACTGCAGCCCCAGCTCTTTGGGAAGCATTAGTGGAACTCGTGCTCTTTCTGTTTGTGCGGGGCTGGCGCTGGTGGAACCGCAAGAGGGGAAAGGTTCCACCACGCCTGGGTGCCTTCAGCTCCTTAGCCCGGGGACCAGACCCTCCCTGCCAGACCCCACCTCGGCCTGGCATTTCCTGAGGTTAGAGCTCTGAGGTTTGGGGAGCGGGGCTGGAGGAGGGAAATGTCCCAGATCTACGTGGGCTGGCCAGTGTGGTAGCCTCCACTCGCATGTGACCATGGGTCACCAGGACTGTGGCCAGTGCAATCACAAGGACTGACGTTTTAATTTCACCAAATGTAGAGCAGTTAATTTCAGTAGCCCCGTGAGGCAAGTGATTGCCATATTGGAGGGGCCACTCAGCTCTACGTCTGGCTGTGGCCCTGGTCCCCGGAATTCTGAGTGTTGAAAGTGCTGGGGAGGAGACCCCGTCTGCTCCAGCCGCAGAACTTGAGGGGGCAGAACTAGCCAAGGGTGCCCACACCACTGAGAGCCTCAGTTTCCTCACTTACAGAGTTAGGTTGCTCAGCAGCTGGGTGAAGTGGCTGATTGCCCTTCCCAGCTTTTACAGCCCCGTTGGCTTCTAAGATCAGATTTCTGAGTTCTTTCTTCTAAACTTATGCGATTATGGTCTTGTTCTCAAATTCTAAATGCCACCGTTCTGAGATGCCTGATTCCCCTGGGAGATTCCCATTAAGTGGCTGGGCTGGAGGGAGGTCGCTGAGGTGGGGCGTGGGAGCCCAGCCTGCTGACACGGCCCTTCCCCTCCCCTCCCCTGCAGTCAGCAGCCAGGAGAGCGGGCACCTGCTGTGCGAATTGTCAGACGACAACCACCACCTTATGGCGCCGCAACGCCAACGGGGACCCTGTCTGCAACGCTTGTGGCCTCTACTACAAGCTGCACAATGTGAGCCCGCCCCACCCCTCCCCAGGGACCTCTGGTCTTTGTGCTGCTGGGCACGAAGCCCCAGCCACAATATCCAGCTTGGCTTGGCTTGGGGAGTAGTGGCCGCCGGCCTGCAAGGCAAGCCTGGAGCCCCAGAAGGGCTTCCTGTAAGAGGGCGTGCTGCTGGCCGGCAGTCTCTATGTGAACCCACGCTGGAGGCAGGAGAGGATTTGGGGTGTCTGTGTGGGAGGCCATGATGGCATTTGCGAGCAGGAACCAGGAAGCTTCAAGCCACCCTTCCTGAAATGGTAGCAGTCCAGGCTTAGGGGGGCTTGGACGGGTAGTGTTGAAGGCTGGGCTGACAGAACAGGTCCAGGCATCCAGAGCTCCCAGCTTGGTCTCCTTTGTCTCTTGAAGAAGTAGGGGACCTGAAACCTGTCTCCTAAAGACTCTGTGCTTGCCCCTAGGTTAACAGGCCCCTGACCATGAAGAAGGAAGGCATCCAGACCCGGAATAGGAAGATGTCCAACAAGTCCAAGAAGAGCAAGAAAGGGGCTGAGTGCTTCGAGGAGCTGTCCAAGTGCATGCAGGAGAAGTCGTCCCCCTTCAGTGCGGCTACGTTGGCCGGACATATGGCCCCTGTGGGCCACCTCCCACCTTTCAGCCACTCGGGACACATCCTGCCCACGCCAACACCCATCCATCCCTCTTCCAGCCTCTCCTTTGGCCACCCCCACCCGTCCAGCATGGTGACTGCCATGGGCTAGGGACAGCATCCTGCTGCACAGATAGATGTCCAGGAGGGGTGTGCTTTCAGGATGGGTGGACCAGGCCCCATGCAGCCACCCTTCCCTGGAGATTGATGCCACTCCTGCCAGGCCCCAGCCGCTCCTGCCAGCCTGGCCAGAGCCCAGAGCCGCCGCCTCCACGGCCAGCTCCAGCTCTGCAGCTCAGCAACAGCAGCAGCAGCAGCAGCAGCAGCAGCAGCAGCCGCCGCAGCCGCCGCCGCCTGCCGGCCTTTACTGTGAATATTCTCTACTGGGCCAGAGGCTGTCCCCGTGCCCTGCCCAGGTGGGGTCCCTTTGTGGACAATTATCTGCAAGGTGAACAGGGACAACTTCGTGGCAAAACATGGGTCAGGGGAAAGACAAATGCAACCATTTTTTGAAGGAAAAAGAAGTAGGCAAAGATAATTTATTTTGCTTTTGTTTCTAACAGGGACTTGGACACTGGGAAGCCTGGGCTCTTCCTTGGGCCCATCGCTGCCCAAGAGCTCTGAGGGGCAGGTCTGCGGGGATGTCCCTCATCCCCTCCTGCTCCAGCTTCCCTCTCTGAAATCACTCAACTCCAGGCTGGGTCATGCCGAGGCCCCAGAGGCTGGCGGCTAGCTGGGGCTGAGAGCCGGTGCAGCCCGAGGGTCAGGCCCTGGAGGGCAGAGACAATCGCGGGCGGTCCTGCGCAGATTCCCAGGCCAGGGCTGGGTCACAGGAAGGAAACAACATTTTCTTGAAAAGGGAAACGTCTCCCAGGTCTCTCCCCAGGCTTTGAGGCTGAAGCCGGTATGACCTGTGTGCCCCAAACGGGCCAGAGCCACAGCCTGAATTCTGTGCCAGGTGGACCCCTGTAAATACATCCTTTTTCTGCTCCCCCCTCAACCCCTCCCCTCCCACTCTTAGACAAACAAGAAAATACTCGAAACAAAACTGTATAAGCTTCACTTGTTGATGAGTTCGTTCTTTTTATTTTTAAATTCTTCCTGGGTCCAGTCAATTGTACGTTGCCACAGAATCCCTACTATGGGAAAAAATAAATCCAATAAACTAAGGTTGGCGCTTTGCGATTCTCTTTGGAAGTATTCTTGGATCTCACAGCCCTAGCAGGGGTGGGAGTGAGGTCGGCTGCTTTTGGTTTCCAGGACCCAGCAGGCTGGTTGGTGGCAACAGGATTGGGGGTTCAGTGCCTACACGGAGTAGGCATCCTGCTGGGGTTCCAGGGTTCTGTTCTGCTGTGGCTGTCTGGATCCTTCCAAGGTACAGCTGTACATAAACGTGTCCCAAGTTAGATTCTGTATGCAGTGGTGGTGGGGTGCAGTGGCTGGCGAGGGGTCCCCCAGCCCAGGAAGACGATTGTGCTGATTTAGTTGACCAAGTGCAATAGGGGCCTGCCAACCGCTGCGAGGAGCACCACAGCCGGAAGTAACTTATTTTGTACTAGTATTGGCATAAGAAAAAGAATCAGCAGTATTTTCTGTTTTAATGTTTTATTTTGCTTGTTTTATTTTTGATTAGTGAACTAAGTTATTGTTAATTATGTACAACATTTATATATTGTCTGTAAAAATTGTATGCTATCCTATTCCTTTAAAGTGAATACTGTTAAGAATAATAAAATACTTTTTGTGAACGTTCAGGCCTGTCTTAAGGGTTCCTGGGGCAGGTGGCCTGTTCTTTGTGGGGGACGGAAGGCTAGATCTGGGTCCACTTCTGACACCACTTCTGATACTCTTTCCCTGAATTGCTTCTGTTTGAGTTTCCTGTGACACCAAACCAGGGCCCCTGTGGCTGACTGGTGTTTTTTAAGAGCTGGAGAACTTTCTTGCAGAATCCAAGGACCAATCCAAGTCTTCGCCCTTGTTCACTTCGCCAGGTACTCATGTGCTCTGGCTTTTGGTCACCGCAAATGCTGTTCATGGACAAATTTGATCAACATCTTTGATCACTAATGCCAATGATTGCTGTCATCTTTGATCAGTGATGTTGGTCATTACAGATAGCCATGTCGGATGTTCCTTATCAATGACATATCTGACTGACTGCCAGAGCCTGCCACCAGGCAGCTCATTGCTAACAACAAATCACCAACAAGCAGTCACCAATATTTTATGATAACTCATGGGTGATGGATCTGACAGTGACCCATCAGGTCTGCTGTAGAACACAGGCCCAGTTGTCTCCAGTGGCTCTCTTCTCACCAGTGGCTGTGATTGCCAGCGTGTTGGTCACCAATGCTCCCCGTCACTAATATCCTATGCCAATAGCAGGAACACCAGTGTCACTGATCAGTGTTTCCTTTCTTCTTTAAAAAAAAAAAAATTATTTGAGGTGGAGTTCTCACTGTGTTGCCCAGCCTGGCCTCAAACTCCTGGATTTAAGTGTTCATCCTGACTCGGCCTTCTAAGTAGCTGGGAGGGACTATAGGTGGATGTTACCAGACCAGATGATTGGTGTCTCTATGTTTTTATTTTGTGGTACTGGAAACTGAATCCTGGACCTTCACATTGAGCTACATCCCCAGACTTTTTAGTATCTTTTAAAAATACTGAGAAGGGGCCGGGGAGATGGCTCAGTGGAATAAGCGCTTCTCTGGCAAGCGCAAGGGCCTGAGTTCAATCCCCTGTTCCACAAAAAATTAAAAAAAAAAAAAAATACTGAGAAAATGCGAAGGGGCGAGGGGGGGGGCTTGAACTTGTGATTCTCCTGCCTCAGATCATTGTTTTTTTTCTAATGATCTGATCATTCACATGTGCTCTCCAACATTTCCAATCACACTGTTTCTCATCACCTATGTCTCTCTCTCTCTTTTTTTTTTTTTTTTGCAGGACTGGGGATTGAATTTAGGTCCTTGGGCTGGCCAAATAGCTCAGCAGACTAAAGCACCTGCTTAGGCAGACTCAGGGCCTACGAGTTCCATTCCCAGGCCTACTGGGCAGGCTCTTCCCTTGGGGTGTGTTGAGACTGCCATTGAGGCTGGGTGTGGTGGCACAAGCCTGTAATCCCAGCTCTTGGGAGGCTGTAAATAGGAGGATCACGACGAGTCCAGTCTATGTAATAAGACCCTCTAGACCCTTTACTAAACACACACACACACACACACACACACACACACACACACACACAGCAAGAACTCAGGCAAGCGCTTATTCTACTGAGCCATCTCCCTGGCCCCACCAATGTCTCCTTAACAATGCCCTTGACCACTTATCTCTGCCACCATTATCTCTAACCAACAATGTTCCTGATCACAGAATCTTCCCACCATCAAGTTATCTACCAAGGTGGTCATCAGTGAATCCTACTCACCAACATCCCTCACCTCCAGTCATCAACATCTCTAATGCCGAATTCCAGGGAGCACTGAATCTTCTTCCCAGTGCCTGGTGGCTAAATATCCCTGCTCCCCAGAGTCCCTTATACCCTAGCCACCTATCCCTAGCCACTGCCAACACTAGTTACAATGATCACTATTCTATAATCAGCAATGTGTCTGATCCCCAGTGGGTGACCTATGGCTTTCTCAATAAGCAGGATCTCTGGACACCCTGTCCCCAGTTGTTAAATTTGATCACCAAAGTCCCCTTTATTTTTAGTCATCCTGGACTTGTACACCAAACACTCCTGGTCACTCACATCTTTGATGAGTGATTAATGGAATACCCAGTCTGTGGTGGTGCTGATCTGTAGGACCTCTGAGCACTGCCCCCTGAAGGTCGGGATGTGACCTCAACTCTCTCTGATGGTATTTTGTGAAAGATGTCATCCCTCAATGACTCTCCCATTCCTAATTAGAAGTCATCCATCCCTAATCATCATGATCTCAGGTCACCAGCATCTATTCCCTGGGGTCCCTGATGACTAGGATTTCTGATTATTCTTCAGTAGCTCTGAGACCCACTTAGTCCAGGAGATTTTCTCTTCTTGGTGCTGGCAGCCACGGCCCTAGCAGGAAGGGCCAAAGTCCGGATGTGGCACCACTGCCCTCCTCAGATTCCTCCTTGTGGAACTGACACCTGGATTAACAGCAGCCAGCTGGTGTTTTGGCTGGGTGAGCCCTGCCTGGGCTCTTGCTGAAGCACAGTAGCCTTGGACCCCATAGGGTCCCTCATGGCTCACTGTGCACCCCATCACTCTAGAGCATTCTGCCTCCTCCACTCTTCCTGCCAGCTATTGCCACAGTGAGACAGGGACAGTCTCTGTGCTGTCTCCTGGCCCACAACTGCAGGACTGTGATCACATATTCAGACGTGTGTCCTGAGAAATTCCTGCATGCCATGTACCTTTCTAGATTTTGGGGCTACATCTGTGAATAAAACAAACAAGAATTAAACACAATAATGATGCTATGCTACCTGGCCTTTTGCATGCTTGCCAGGCCCACAGTCCAGAGTCCAAAGCCAGAGCCAGTCCAGTACATAGGGACTAGAATCTGAGGCCTAGAACCTACATCCCAGAAACTGAGAAATGACTCCAAAATACAAAGCTCAGAGCCTAGATCCTCCAACCCACGATTCAGAGGTTGGAACTCAGAATCTAGAATTTAACCAAAACTCTGAGATGTGGCCCAGAGTCTCAGAATCCAGATCCTAGTAGTACACAGAGCCCAGAACTTTGGCCTTGAATGTGGGATCCCAAATCTACAGCCTAGAGCCCAGAACTCATAACTCAGCTTGGAGGACATGGAGCCCAAGATCCAGAACTTGGGTCCCAGAGCCTAGAACCTCACATCTAGAATGTGGCTGAGGACCTACAGGTCAGAATCCAGAGCCTCAAACTCAGAATGAACCCCTCAAGGGGCCACCTTGTTCCTCTGAGCCCCTTGACTTATTCCCCTTTGCCCTGCCAGCCCAGTTTGAGGAGCACTCAGTGCCAGGGGTGGCAATGTTAGCCAGCAGGAAGTGAGCACATAAATAGGTTCCCTCTCCAGCCACAGTGACTCCAGAGCACGCAGGGACTGCGTGTGGTCATCCTGTGCCCTCTACCCACTCAGGTAGGTACTTCCTGCAGGTCTGCTGAATAGATTTGTTTACTCCACACATCTATTGGCCTTGTTCCTGATATTTAGAAGGGGAATCTCTCTCTCTCTCTCTCTCTGTCTCTCTCTGTCTCTCTGTCTCTGTCTCTGTCTCTGTCTCTCTCTCTCTCTCTCTCTCTCTCTCTCACACACACACACACACACACACACACACGGAGACCCTTGGCCTGGTGACAGACTCTTGGCACAGAGGCTACAGTTGGGGGAGGCCAGCGTGTTCAGCTGGGAAGAGAGAGGCCCCTGGGTTGGAGTCTCAGCAAGTCACTCGGGAGCCACAGAACCCAGGCTAAGAGGGCTGCAGTGTGCAGCTTCTGTTCCCTCTCCATACCCCAACTGCTGGGAGCCCTTGCTCCACTAAACAGTTTAGATTCTGTGGACACAAAGCCAAGCCCTGGGCAGGGCTGGACATGCAGCTGGGCGCTGCCAGTGGCCGCTTTGGGCAGGCGAGGACCGCCTTCATGGGGTTCCTGGGCCCTGGCGCCAGGGCGGCCGGGGTGGGGTCGGCCTTTGTTCCATCTGTTTGCACCCAGGTGGGGCTGCTGGCCCTTCCTCCCCTCCACAAGCTGCAGGCTCCAAGGCCTGGCTTCTTACTCCCATTTTCCATAGGAAGAAAGCACATCATCCCTGGACTTCTTCGGGACCAGCTCAGTCCTGCTCCAGACCCTCCTATCTCCTGATGCCCCACACTGAGAACAGAAAAAGATCAGACTTCCAAAGGGTCCCTAGGGCCACAGACAGGGCCCCTGCCCTGGGGACTATGTGGGGAGGAATGCGGGCCATCCATCTGCCTGACCCCTGACCAGGGACAAACTTACCTGAGGCAGCACAGAGGACAAACAAGGCAGCGCAGTCCCCAGGGTGGGTGGGTCCTCAGACAGTTTACGACACAGACAATTCCATTCCAATGCCACAGGCTGGGTTTTTTTGTTTTTTTTTTTTTAATAGAAGCAAAATAATAAAATGCTTCCAAACTTTATCTGGAAAAAAGAAACAAACAAGGCCAGCAGAAGAAATCAG